ATAAGGAATCGATACATAAATTTTTATCCTTCCTTCAGGAGTAAAACCTCGATAAACTACGTTAATATGTATGATTAGTATGACCAGGGTGTGTGAAAACTTATGTTTCTTTAGGGCTCTCCCCTTCGGCCAAAATTTTCGATTTTTTTCAGAAAAAGTAACAAGCTGCTTAAGGCGTTCAGAAAGAATTGTCGTGAATCTTAGGTATGAAACTACAATAGGAAAGTTGCCATTCTCGCATCTCCAGACAACAGTGGAATCTAACCGAAGAAGCTTTAAAACCGGTGACTTTTTACCACCTTCGTTTAATTAGAGACCAGCCCATTTCTTTAAATTTAGATTCTAATCACTAATTTCGTGGTCCGCTTGACCAATTAATATATTATAATTAATTAAGGTTTTTAGATTCTATTTTAATTTTTTCACCTACTTGCTTAAAATGACTACTTGTTGTTGAACCTGTTCTTCAACCGGACAAATTTAACAGTTTAGGACTTACATTTGATAAAAGACTAACTTGGAATCCACATACACGAGAAAAAACAGACACTCAACTATCTATTTAAAATGCTTTATTACCTATTCAACCGACAATCAAAATTATACTAAAACCAAAACTTTTGACGTACACATACCTACTCAAACCTATTTGGATGTACGGGTGCTGAGCTCATGAATCGGCCAAATTTTACAATATTGAAAGATTTTAAAGTTTTTAATCCAAAATTTATGCCCCTTTTTACGTAAACAATAACATATTTCACAGATCTTCACATACCAACTGTTTTTTCATCCATCAAAACGTAGTACAGTCGTTTTCATAGTAAATTACAAAATCACACTATCACACAAATACGATAACTCCATTCTCTACAATTACCACGTAAGCGACTGAAAAGAATTAGATAAGAAACCTCTCAAATGATTAATATATATAATTTTTTTCTCTACACCGCACGTAATGTCACAATGCTAAATCGAAATCCAATCCGCTGATTGTATATATACATGAACAGTTGTAGGCAAAAATAAAGTATGTTGAACGGGCACACGGGTACTACTTGGTCTGTCTTCACTCGCGGGTTTTTTTGTTTGAATTATTCAAACGCGTTTCGGCATTACGCCATTAGATAGACACAACTAACCGCTAGACAGCAACTGTGTTTATAGCATCACATGTCAATGCGGATACACTTACATTGGACAGCCTGGAAGAAAACTAAGAGATCGATTCAAAGAAAATCTTAGATCCTTCAGAGACAATGACGGAAAATCAAATTACGCCACACACTTAATACACTACAACCACGAACCAAGCACAATAGAAACAAGCATGACATTCATAAACAAAGCACAAAAAGGACGAAAACTAAACATTCTGGAGAACCTCGAGATATACAAACAAATAACACTTAAAGACGGAAAACTTATAAACGCACAAGCAAACTCACATTCATACACCACCTTTACACCATTAAAATCACTTCATAACAAAAAACAAATGTTCGGAAGAACAAAACATCGTAACCAACAACGCACAAATAATAACTGACAATGGAAATAACCGCCACCGAGACAGACAACGCCCCCTAACGCAACGCCCCCAGCGACAAGCGACGGACGCAATAATATAAACTTTACTCAGACAAAATGACAGACAGTTTTTCACTGAAGATGGCGTAATATAATATATAATACAATAACTTATAACTATATTAACTGTATAATACTTTTTCTGTCTTTCTGTCGCTCTCTCTTTTTCTTTAATCTTGCTTTTTCAACCCGTTTCTCTTTTACTTTGTAACTTAACTATCTCTAACTAAATTTCTGTATATTTGTTCTTTAATTTTTTCTGTATCTTACTTTGTTTTCCTTTTCCTCGCTCTTTTTTCATACACCCACTCTCTCTCTCTTTCTCTAATAAAATATAAACCATGAACTCTATTTAATAATATGAGATTGACGAACAAACCATCGTAGCTAGTATAAATGATACAATCCTTGCAATAAAAAATTGCACACCTAAATAAAATCTGTAGAATTCCATTATGCAGAACACAATCATAACAAAATTCTTTATTCCAAGAAGTATTCAACTGTAAAATAAACTTCCCAATTATTTTCACTAATTTCGTGGTCCGCTTGACCAATTAATACTATACAATTAATTAAGGTTTTTAGTTGAGATGAAAAAAAGTTAATGGCACGAGAGGGATTCGAACCGACGACCTTCGGCTTGATATGCCGCTACTCTACCACCTGAGCTATCGTGACCTCGATCCACTCGGACATCAACTCCCCATCTCAAACTCATAAGGCGGGGTTGAGATGGGGAGTTGATGTCCGAGTGGATCGAGGTCACGATAACTCAGGTGGTAGAGCAGCGGCGTATAAAGCCGAAGGTGGTGGGTTCGAATCCCTCTCGTGCCATTAACTTTTTTCATCTCAACTAAAAACCTTAATTAATTGTATACTTCCCAATCATGTAAAAACATGTAAATCTCAAAATTCGTATAAAAAGATGTAAAAGAATATCTCTCATGTATGTACTCCTAACATGATTAATAGATTAATAGAATATACGGAACTTATAGTAGATGATGGGGTTTGGTCTGCGAGTTGGAGAACTCATGTTGAACCGGCACACGGGCACTACTGGGTCTGTCTTCACACGCGGGTTTTTTGTTTGAGTTATTCAAACGCGTTTCGGCATTACGCCATCTTCAGTGAAAAAGTGTCTGTCATTTTGTGAAGACAGACCCAGTAGTACCCGTGTGCCGGTTCAACATGAGTTCTCCAACTCGCAGACCAAACCCCATCCTCTACTAAAAATTAACTAAGTAAAAAAATGTTTGAGTGAACTACTAAAAAAAAATTTTTGAATTATTTAAATTTAAATCATTTTAACAAACATAGCTTTTACAACAGCCCTATTTTTTATATTATTTTATTTATTTTTTATTTTTATAAAAAGGAGAATAATGAATTAGATTTTTAAATCCATTGTTTTTCATGGTCTAATTGACTGAATTCTATTGAATAACTTCTTTCAATTAAGAAATCTTTACGTAAGATATTGGTTGAAATGAAAAAATTAAGAAAATATGAAAAAATCAAGATACAGTAACTATTCTAATCTAACCCAACCCAATCTAACCTAAACCCAAACACTTTTCGGTGACGCAAAATTGATAACGAAAATGACCATGCAAAAAAAAATATATATATACAGGGTGAATTGCTACTCGTGCTACAAACTTCTCCAGTAGATTCTTCACCCTAAAATGAACAAAANTCGGACCATGGACAATATGAACTTTTTTGTTCATTTTAGGGTGAAGAATCTACTGGAGAAGTTTGTAGCACGAGTAGCAATTCACCCTGTATATGTATGTCGGTGATAGAGAAGAAACCCAATGATTAATGTTTATAATGTTTATGTTGTCTACTTATCACATTTTTGTAAAGTTGATTAATTATTATTTATTATTATTATAAAGTTATTAATTCCTGAAAGGCGAACACATTGTGTCGTCTTGGACGCTCCCCACTGGCTAAAGAATCTAAATTTACCGCGAAGGTACAGTTTTTAGAAAGACCATGGAGTGCGCTCTATACTTTTGCGGGGGCAGAAGCAATAAGAACCTCCAGTTAGTTACAGTAACATTTTATGCGTGCCAGTGGGGAGTGCATCCGTGCCTTGATCTTTTACTAAATAAAATTATAATTGTTAAATAGTCGTGTTTGTTATTATGTCCGACTTTGAAGAGGGCCAGATCTCCGAGGATGAGTGGGATCATAGCCCAACGGATGAATTCCCGACATATATATATATATATATATATATATATAAAAGTTTATCGAGATGAAAAACATATCAATGTTAAAACAAAGAGGTAAACCATCAGACACATCGCAAAATAATGCAAAGATAAAAAGGGCACACATTTTACGATAGTGTAAAAAAGGACCTGATTAAATGAAAAATCACACACGCAAACCACAGAGGATGGCGAAAAGCCAAAATACATCTGACAGACCAAATCACTAAGGCTACAGTTACTATGGATGCGAATTCTGACGAAATTTTGTTCTGACGAGTTCGTCCAAACAAATAAATACTTGTTTTCCGAAGTGAATTTTTACTTTGGCAGCGAAGTGCATGTCAGAACACGCACGATGTCTCAGAACCAGTTTGATTTTTCCATGCGTTTTGAAGTTCAATTTAGACAGTTTTGGTAATTCACTATGGATAAAGATTAACAGATTCGTCTTGTTTTTGGGTTTGAGAATAGGTGTTTGTGGGACATGAACGACAAAAAATAACACAACAGAGATATTTCGTGGCCAGAGTAGGAGAGTTTCCCAAGAAATCAACACTAGCAAAAATTCATATTTGGTTAGTGGTCATAACTAACCATATTAATTATTCAAATGGATCATTCTTTTTATCTAAGGTTTTTGGTTGAGATGAAAAATTAATGTCTCGAGCGGGATTCGAACCCACGACCTTCGGCTAAATACGCCGCTGTTCTATCACTTGAGCTATCGTCACTTCGGTCCACTCCACTTAAATTTTTAACTTATGATACATATTATTAATTATTAATGAATCGGTTGAATGTAAAAATTAATATAGTAAAATAATTTACGCAAGAAAGTGATTTAATAAAAAAAGTCTGTCGGAAATACTACTGCAAAAGGGCGAAATGTTTGGCTTGTCACATCGATTGAATGACAATTAAAATTTCATTTCACGGTCTGTGTGTAACGAAACAATTGTTGAAATGAAAAATGAACGCCGTATGCGACGGGTACGTCGTTTATCGATGGCCTGTCAAGTACCCGAATGAACCTGTCAACAAGGATTTCATAACATTGTATACCAAGTCCCTCGTTGTTTTCGTCACCGTCTCATTTGTCGGTGGTTCACACAGCCTCGTGACGTGTATGACGTTTTGATATGTTTTGGTTGTTAAAGGACGTTTGTTATGTTACAGGGAGAACTCGAGGATATGGTGTTGGTCGGTGACCCGTCAGGCGTGGCCCAGCAGTGTTCCACCAATTTGACGCCGTCCGTCGATCCTCTCCTCGAAGAGGCTCGGCCCCATAGGAAGCCGCATAAACTCAAACCGTAAGAACAATATTGCAAAAGTTATAGGAAAAGTTTTTTTTTTCTATTGGCGAGAAGGGATGGAGACGACGACTATTACTCTCGACGGGCACGATCTCCAAAGTTCCAAAGGGAATAGTGTCTAACATAGGGCATAAAACATAAACGTGTTGGCTGGGATAGGATTTATTTAAAATTCTACGTACACACGTAAACTTGTACTACTCCCATTTGACATAACTCTACTTGGACAGTCGTGTAATTTCGTATGAGAATATTCACAATCTTACCAAAACCCATGTAAAATTTATATTATCGTAAAAGCTAATGTAATGTTATGCGTTGTAAAACAACGTAAGTTTTCCTATTTCTACTTTCCTACTACCATTAACTGTCTGTATAAATTTCCCTGTCACACTCTCTTTCGTTTTGTTTCTACGTCTCGCTCTTCCTCTCAATCTCACTCCCATCACTCCACAGACCACACGGAAAAATGCAAAAATCCATAAGCTCCATGTTGTGTGGTTTAATAAAGCATCATCAACAACTACCTCGCGGTCTATTTCGCTCTCTCTCCCACTTTCTCTCTCTCTCACTCTTTATTTCTTTCTATCTCTCTCTCTCTCTCTCTCTCTCTCTCTCTCTCCATCTTTCTCTCTCTCTCTCTATTTCTCTCTCTCCCACTTTCTCTCCATTTCCCTNATCTATCTATCTATCTATCTATCTATCTGTCTATCTATCTATCTATCTATCTATCTATCTATCTATCTATCTATCTGTCTATCTATCTATCTATCTATCTATCTGTCTATCTATCTATCTATCTGTCTATCTATCTATCTATCTATCTATCTATCTGTCTATCTATCTGTCTATCTATCTATCTATTTATCTGTCTATCTGTCTATTTATCTATCTCTATCAGTGGTTTGCAAGATAAGCTAATTAAAGTAGGAAAAGTCCTGTGTGTCTGAATTCCATCAAACCAAAGCAGGCAATTTGCGTACAAAGACAGAAAACGTAGACACAACAAAAAAAAAGCAACAGGAAGGTAGGATATTAAACGTAATTTCATTCGTTACTCTTTTTTTCTTTCCAAATATATTCTTCAGCATCATTTTGAATATCCCCGAGTTAGCACTTTTTATTCTATCACGTCGATTGTCAATTTTTAAATTGATTATCGCTGACTCGTTTTTCATTCTTGACAAACATTTTTAACTTTCAGCGTTACATAATAAGATTATTATTATTAAACTAAAGAACGACTTTTTTGCTGCCGTCATTATGTAAAATATACTGTCTATAAGACTAACGGCGCAAGAGAAGCTGGGATGTTCTCGGAGATTGCTAGGCTAAATTAACAAAAAAAAAGCGCACAAAATGCCAAGTCGTAAAATGGGCTTATTAAGCATAAAAAGCCGGCCAATAAAGTAGAAGAGAAAACAATATAAACCGAGTAAAAATGGGGAAAGCGGCGGCTTAACGGGAAAAAAATTTGTTGCCCGCAAAGGCCATAATTTATTGTGTGTTGCTTGATTAGGTGCAAGTGTTACGGTCGCCGTACTGGCTTAAACAGGGTGTTTCTAGGACACTCGCCTGGCTAACTCACGACCCGTGCGATACGCTCTTTATTAAATTCAGACTTTAAAAACCGGTTCCTTTGCGCACGGCATCGCCGTCAAATGTGAAAACCGTGCAAATAGTCATCACCATCAACCGTCACCGGTGATGAGAACTATTTCCTAAAGCGTTTGTGCCCATAATTAATATTAATGTCAGTACATTTACGTTTTAGTGATCAATTGACCAAGTTACTTCTTTCAATTAATTATTCTTTCTATGTAAGATCCTGTTTGAGATAAAAAAAAGTCAGTGTCACGAGCGGGATTCGAACCCAGGACCTTCGGCTAAATACGCCGCTACTCTACCATTTGAGCTATCGTGACTTCGATCCTCTCGGACACCAACTTCCCATCTCAACCTGCAACCGTTCGACTTTTCCCTCTTTTTACCATTTTTCAAATTTGTAATCAGGAGTGGATTCTCAGCGACTTATGAAGTGGCCACGGGGAGCTTATAGTGAAATTATACTTATTAAATCCATTATATTTATTGGACTATTGGCCAAATTACTTCTTTCAATTAATTAATCTTTCTATGTACGGTCTTTGTTGGGATAAAAAAGTCAGTGTCACGAGCGAGATTCGAACCCACGACCTTCGGCTAAATACGCCGCTACTCTACCATTGGAGCTATCGTGACTTCGATCCTCTCGGACACCAACTTCCCATCTCAACCTAGAACCATTCAAATTTTTCCTATTTTTTGCCAATAGCAGGAAATAGCAAATGAGAGAACGAGTGAGAGTGAGAATGAGGGAAGTAAGGAGAAAAAGTGAGTGAAAAGAGTGGATGGGAGGTAAAATGAAATGATGGGATATTTGGTCAGAAATAATGATTAAAAGAATGAAATAGAAACATAAATTAAAAAATATATAAATAGGTAGAAAGGTAGATAAAGGATATATAGATGGCTAGAATAATCGACGGAGAAATAGCAAAACAGGGAGAGAGAGGGAGAATGGAAGAAAAAGAATGAGAGAAAAAGAATGTGGCTAAGAGTGGATGGGAAAACAAAAGAAAGGATATATCCGTTTAAAACAATGATTAAGAACATGTGTATGAAAAAAAGAAAAAGAAATAAATATATAGATAGAAAAATATTAACCTAGATAAATAGAAATATTGATAGATTAACAGATAGCAAGAGTGAGAGAGAGTGTGTGAGAGGGTGAGAATGAGAAATATAAATCCGTATTCAGCAAATTTTAGCTTTAAACATAGCTGTGCCAATTTGAATAATAAATCATTAATAGCAGTTGAAAGAGTTTACAATGCCCAATAATGAAACAAACAGTGCCAAATTGTTTTGAGAGTGTACTTAATTATATGTTGCCACAAACTTAAAATATTATAATATATGAAGAAGGATAGATTAATTTTATTATGCTAGTTATTCATGGCTATGATCATATCAAATATACATTTAAATTTGATCTGTAAGCCAAGTTTAATAAACAAACAAAAATGGACAAAGTTTGATGAAATTCACAGGCGCAGTCGTCCATACAGATGGTTCATAATAAACGCGATTAAACAACTGTTTTGATTTAATTTTACCAAAAAACGACGGGTTAAAATGTTGAGCAGAGAAAAAAAAGCAACCCGTATTATTGCCATCTCCGTTAACAATCCAATTCCCTTTTCTTCAACGATCCATTCGGTTGAGGCGAAAGCCTCCGGGTGGTAGTACTAATAAGTCCCTAATCTAACGACATCTTTTCTCAATCAAATGACTATCCACCAGCCCTCAGCTATTAGCCGGTCGGATCATTAAAAAGAGTTAAGAAGACAGTGTAATTGCATTACCAGGCTATCTTTCAGCCTAATGAGTAGAAACGGTTGTCATTAGGGGATAATTCTAATTGAAGACCAATTCTCCAAAGTAGCAACAAAATTGGCAAGCTTCTTTCTTTCCTAACTCTTTTTTTTCCACCCCCTTCCCCAATAATATGATTGAAACCTCATAAAAATTTTAATCAAGAAATCAATTTTCATTGAAAAATACATTATGATATACAATCTGCAAGCTGGGAATATTAACAAATGGACTTTTTATAAAGGGAAATCATAAGAAAATTTGGACAATGAGAGGCTTTAATATTTTATTATATTTATGCTTCACTATGTGATTCGGTTCATTTTTTAAAATTACAATGAATATTTAAAATATTTAAAACTCGCACAATTCAAATTAAATTTAAGTTATATCTAAAAATAACGCACATATATTATGTCAACAATGAAAAATAAACATACGAGATAATTTGATTGCACATCTAAAAATAACAGTTATTGACATTTGCCAAGCTTATTAATCTAACAGAGTAAACAATGTTACAATAACTATTATGAATGTCAGGTAGAATAGGTTATACAGGGTTGGGATTTGAAAAAAAATTGTTAAATGATGTTTTGTCGGCGTGTTAGAGTAATCCGTCCTTTATAGTGAATTCAATTATATTTAAACTTGTGACTAATTATTAATTTTTTAAAATTTAAGTTATACACCAAACTGCATGTATTCAATACACAACGACTGTTTTAACAATTTTTTTGTTAATAGAAAAAAAATTTACCGTATTATTTTAAGTAATTAATCCGGCATTTCTGCTTTCGAACCCAGTATACTTTTAGAAAAAATTCTTAAACACTACCTGCTAATCGGCGGTTGATACGACTTTTACTGCTGCACGAGCTTTTTTAGCTTTTCTACGAGCTGCACGAGTTTCCTGGTGCGCATGATTGCTTTAACATCCTTGCATTTGGACGATAGGACTCAGGGAGCGTGTGACTACGCCTATTTAGTTTCTTCGAGATGCTGACCTCGGACGGCGGATGCTGCATCAGAGGCACACGGGATTCGGGTACAAGATCCTCTCTATATATATTTATATATACGGACGGGGGAGGGTGCATAATCATTTGAACTGCGGGCAGGGTATCTTCAACAAGTTCAACCCCTGCTGCTTGGGTAAGGACTCGAAGTGGCTTTGTGGTGACCCTTAGCGGGTACCTAGAAATAAGTTTGTGTTTCATTCGTGGCCGTGGACCGTAGTACTTGCGTTTGACAACCGAATCACCTCCCGACCTCGCGGGAATCGGAAGGATCGGATTGCCGAGTGCGTATAGCCCTCGAGGAGCTGAGGAGCTACACTGACGGAGTCCCTCCAATGCGAGAGGACGGGGACGGATGTTTTTCGGTGGTGGTCGACTAGGCTGCCTTCACCGTAGGCATGGTCTCCTCTTCCACTAAAATCATAGCCGCTGCCGGAGCGCATTCGGATGTTTCGACGCTAGCGGAGCCCCTACACACAGGGAGATGACAGGATAGAGTTGTCGTCTCTATCTAGGGAGTACGTTGGAGACATGGCCGATGCATTTCGACCACTTTTTGGT